ATCCAATTTACTTAGATTTTGTACACTTTCTATTATATTCTGTTATAGTAGTTGTTCCAACAATTAATTAAGTAATTTAACGCAATAATTTTCCTTGAAAATTATATTATATCTTAATTCTTAACAATTTAATTTATAATAATATCACTTTTGCAGGAGCTTTCCTGATATGCAGCTGATTCTTCCACTAAACGAGTAACGACTAATCGAGCAATGACTTTGAGTCGAGCGAGCAAACAAAGGACAAACGGATTTAACAAAAGACAAAGAAATTTAACCTTGCCTTTGACGATCAACGGCGATCGATAATTTCGATAATTTCCAATTATTTAATATTCGCGATAATTTATTTTGTAATAATACTATCCGGTGCCCGAAAAATTATTTCATCGCTTAAATTGTTTATAAAAAGAACCAACGAGGTTTAATTAACAAAAGACTTGCATAAATCGATCGAATTGTTTAAGTTATTATATCGAATTCCTTTTGTTAATTAATTTACTATTTCTCGCTTGTTAATTTTTACAACAATTCTACTTGTTAGAAACATGGTTAAGCACCTCACTGGCTATTGTGCCATTTAATTTGTTAATGAAATTAATTGACAGAATCAGAGACATGAAGCAATGTTTCGTGCACGAATGTTTCGAGAAATTATTTCATCAGTCAACCTTCGTTAATAAATTTATTATTTCTCGCTTCTTAATATTTACGAGAATTCTTATTAAAAATGATATTATTAAATACTCCCGTTGCTATTTCATCGTATAATTTCGTAATGGAAGTAATTAATAACGTTAAATACACGCAGTGATTTTAAAACCACGAATGTGTCGAAGAATCGTTACATCGAAAATATTCTATTGTTAAATTTATTGTTTCTAGTTTTTTTTTTTTTTTTGTTTAACGATTATAAGAATTTCTTTTCCTAATGAAACCTTCTAGTACTCTCTTGTCTATTTTTCTATCTAATGTTTAAACAAGATTAACTAACACAATTCGAGATAAAGAAAGACTTTCAAAACACAAATATTAGGTAATCCACTTTCACGAGGATGTTAGTCATATACCAAGCACGCGTAAGGGTCGATACACATCTACGTGCTAGGCTCGGGTTATGCTAGGAGTTCAACTTTATGTTGAAGGAGTGCGAGCATTCGGAGTTCAACTTTATCTTTTCCGTATTTTTTTTATTTCGAGCTTTTTCTGATTAAAATAAGACCAAACACGATATAATTTTTGTAAGATTATAACGATTTTTATGAAAAATATAAATATACTTTTCATATTAATATTAACTTAAATATTTTAGATAATGATTAATAAAACGTCATTCCACACAAAAATTTTATTCTCGTAGTTTAAACATCCTCCATATAGAAATGATTGTCTGACTTATAAATTTGTAACAAAATAACATGCGCCGTTTAATTATATGAAATAAAAGTTAAATAAATGCTAATTATACTCGTATAGCTGTATCAAACCTAGTCAAGTCCTTGGTCATCCTTGGGGCACGGCCCGAGCCGGGCACGTAGATGTGAATCGACCCCATTGGAGTGTTCGCACTACTCGTGCCTCGCTCGCTTCGTGCCGTGCTCTCCGCGTGCCAGGCCGCCCGGCGCCATCCACACGTGTCCACCCTTGCAGACAGGCTCGGACCAGGTATGTTTCGCCCGTAACCAAAGCAAAGCGAGACGGAACTGCGCAACTGGTACGATGTGGACAGAGTGCGCAATCTTTCCTTCTAACTTTGCAGGCAATAAACCCAGGAAAGCATTTCGTCTTGACAAAGCGTGCAAGAAAAGGAATCTATGAAGGATAGTAGGTGGCTTGAGACTTCTGGTGACCATCTGTGAGTCATAAGTCAATAAAATGTTAAATTCTGAAGAAAGTGACGACTTTTCAGTGAAACTGGTTGGTATTGTTTGACGAACAAATAGGGTCGAAAAGGAAATCCTGATCCTTTTTGGCTTACAATTCGTAGCGTTACCACATTTTAATAAATACCATACCATTAATTTCAAGACGCAAGCATAATTTACTAAGTATGATACAGCTATATGAGTATATTATAGTATTTAAATATATTTAAATATATGTTGTCAAAACCCTGCCATAACTTTGGCATAACTTTAGCGTAACTTTGGCATAACCCTGACATAACCCTTTCTTTTTCATACAATATACATACAATATAATGTCATTTTCTCAAAGTTGCTAGTAATTGAAATTGATGTTGGTCTCATAGTTAGGCATGCCTATACGTTCCTATTAAATGTTAGAAAAGTGACGACAAGTCAAATATCGCGCCGCATGTTTCAGATGGAACGACAGGCGTACGGATGCGCGAAAAGAGCGAGACCGTAAACACGGTAAAGTAAGACGAACTACATTGGTTGCGATGTGACTGATTTCGCATCTAGTTGTGCTGATGACATGCTATCTTGCTTACTCGCTATTTTCTACCTTTGTCATTGCCTATAAGGGCAGTTCAACTGTGAATAGCCAGCCAATCAAAGCACAGCAATTCGCTGCGTTCTCTCAATTCAAGAATCTCGTTTCCCCCAGATATGATAGTTGAATTGAGAGATTACTATAATTTATAATCGTCTAGCATTTATTTCCTCAGATTACTTATAAGATCATTTTACTTGTCGTGATATTTGAATAAAATTGAGATCAAGATAATGCTTTGCTATAATATTTAGTGAATAAACTGTTCTGGCTTATTCTAGAAGCGAACGAACGAGTGAAAATATAACATGAAAATTCAGCTTCAGGCTAAGCAAAATATCCGACTGTTTCTATATGACCTCGACGTTACATTAAAACTTACAACGTATTTCGTGCTAGATTGAAGTTTCTATTCGCGGTGGTCTATCTTCAGTGACCTAAGCTGTACGAATTGTGTTTTTTTTGAAGTTTGTACGTTTCCTTTTAAATACTGTTCAGAAAACAATAAACATTTTTCGTGCTGTATACGATTTTACGTACAGTTTGTTGTTACAAATGTGCGATACAATATATTTATATGGAAAACGCAAATACGAAGAAAGATCATACTATCGCGACAGTGTATATATGTACTCGATGAATTATTTGGTTGTGTTAAAATAAATGGAAATTATTAGTGAGAAAAACTTTTAAATGTAAATACATCGGAAAGAGAATGGCAGGAGTATTTGATATAGAATTACACGAAGGTGATTCTTCTGTCAATCAAGACGATTCGGACGACGATGTTCTAGAAAACAGAGAAGTTTGTTTCTTCGTGAATTGTCAATAGTGCTTTCATTGTTGTTATTAGTTCATTTATTTATTTTCTTCATCTTTCAGGATGATTATGATCATTCCACAAACGTCAATACTATTTTAGAGTAAGTATCATAAAATATAAAAATGGGTACTGACAATATGAAAAGTAAAATGGTAATATATTCACAACATAATGACATACCTATAAATTAATTTTAATTGTTCTTAATATTCTGAGAAAAATCATAAGCATATAGTATTACTATAAATCTTCCTTATAGATCCGATAATTTGGAGAGAGTTCAATTATCCGAAGAAAACGTAAACCCTGGTCAAGAAAAAGCTGGCCCTCAAGATTTTGAACTATGTAAGATTCTCGGGGCTGGTGGATATGGGAAAGTTTTCCAAGTGAAAAAGGTTACTGGGAAAGATAAGGGCAGTATTTTTGCAATGAAGGTATTTGTAAGAAACATCTTTGTTTACTTTAAAAAAAGACAAAATAGTAATAGAGTTTCTTTTTCTGATAGGTACTGCGGAAAGCTTCTATTATAAGGAATCAGAAGGACACAGCACATACAAAAGCGGAAAGAAATATCTTAGAGGCTGTAAAGGTAAATATATACCATATTCTATGAAACAGCAAACGGAGCATCATTTATTTAGTTTATTCTTCTTACAGCACCCATTTATTGTCAATTTAATGTATGCTTTTCAAACTGGTGGTAAATTATATTTAATTTTGGAGTATCTTTGTGGTGGAGAACTTTTTACTTACTTGGACAGAGAAGGCGTGTTCTTAGAAGACACAGCTTGGTAAATACTCAACAATTGTTATTAATTTTAGTAGCTGTATACAATTTACAAGTGTACAAATGGTTTCAGAACATGTGCACTGACATTCCGCTCATTATTTATTTGTGTTTACAGTTTTTATTTATCCGAGATCATACTTGCACTTCAACATCTGCACAATCAGGGTATTATTTACAGGTACAATTTTTCATGACAATAATATTAGTTAAGTTAAGTTAAGTTAATTAGTTATAAGTTAATATACTCTTATTTACATTTAATTGTTGTTGTTAATTGTAAACTACTCTTTTAGAGATTTGAAACCAGAAAATATCTTACTGGACGGCGAAGGTCATGTTAAATTGACAGACTTTGGCTTGTGCAAAGAACACATACAAGAAGGTACAGTGACGCACACTATTTGCGGAACTATAGAATACATGTGAGTAGTAGTCTTACTTTGTAAGTAGTACACAGCTATTGTCAAAGTAATGGAATAAATTAGTTTCAATGAAACAATTCTTAATATTAATTTTTCAAATTAAATACAAACTGCAAATTAAGTTAGTCGGTTTGGAAATATGTATACTGTTTTTCACTAACGTACTTAGGGCACCAGAAATTTTAACGAGAAGTGGACATGGTAAGGCCGTTGACTGGTGGAGTTTAGGTGCGCTAATGTATGACATGCTTACTGGAATGGTACGCGAATTGTACAAACCACAAGATATTTTGTAAAAAGTCAGATTACATAAACTTGTAATATCTATAATTTTCGTTTACAGCCACCGTTCACAGGAGATGATAGAAACGAAACAATCGAGAAGATTTTAAGAGGAAAGTTATGTCTTCCGGAATATCTAACACCAGATGCTAGGGAACTGATACGAAAATTATTAAAAGTACATAATGCTTATTACATTATTTGCATAATATTATAACAATTTTCGAGCATCTAATTAAAATTAATTGTATTATATAATTGCAGAGGCAAGTATCTCAAAGATTGGGATCGGGTCCAGAAGATGCGGAGCAAATAATAAATCACAATTTTTTTAAACATATCAATTGGCACGACGTAATCTCAAGAAAACTTGAACCTCCCTTTAAGCCATCGTTAGTAAGTAATTGTTATTGTAATATAAATTCTTACGAGTATACGAATTAATGATAATTAACGAAAACGATTCAAAATATTACCAGAAAAGTGCTGACGATACGTCACAATTTGATGAACAGTTCACAGCCTCCGTACCTGTAGATTCGCCAGTTGAAAGTACTCTTAGCGAATCTGCTAATATGATCTTTCAAGTACGTATCCAAATGTATTTGGTAACACTCGAATCAATATAATGAAATTTTGTTATCGAACATTTGCAGGGTTTTACCTATGTAGCACCGAGTGTTTTAGAAGAAATGTACTCGCAGCCGAGAGTTGTGAATGCTAAAAGTCCCCGTAAAGGTTTCTTAGGCACAGGCTTTAGCGGAAGTCTTCACAGTTTATCGCCAAGATCACCAGATGCTCACCTTCGCACATCTTCTCATTTTCGTCCACACAGGTACTCTTAACCCCACTTTTTCTTTTCTTTTTTCTGAAACGAATTTTCTTCGAAATAGTAAGTCTGCATTTTCTTTAGGCATCCCATGCTAGGTTCGAATAATGTGGAAGACACGGAAATGACAGATATAGATCAGCAGTCGTTATAGTCACTCAAGAGACAGAAGTGTGCAAGAAAGCTTTTGTCTTCCGTATTAAGCCGGGGCAAGTGTTAACAGCATCATTTCTTGGCTTTCTTACTTTCTTGCAGTTCAGCGATTACACTCGAAAAATTTAGTACGATTTACTTGGGTAGATGCATAGAAAAAAAAGCAATGAATTTTAAGTCGAAAGGAGAGTTACATACATTGATCCAGCAGAGCAGTGGTGCTACACGCGTTTCAGATAAATACGCAGGCCTGTGACTGTTCTAGCATGACTAACCACTGTTTACGTTATAAAGAAGGAAAGTAATATGTTTTCGTTGTGTAAATATACGTAGATTTTTGATAAGCAATGCAGTTCGAAAGGAGGGGAATGTGCCGTACTTGAAAGGTCTAAGAGATATTTTTGAAGACATGATATTCCATTGTTGCAACGAGTTACCCAACTATTTAACATGTCTGACCTGTCAAAGAAGTACGACTTTATTGTTAATGTAAAAAATAGGTCAATGAAAAGAACTGATCCTGTAACAATAACGGTTCGCTTTTAATGAAAGTTTAAAGCCTGACAAAATTCTTTAACAGAACTTTAAATTTATTACTATATTATAATTTATTTTGAGTTGCAACAGTGATAAAAAGCAACCATTTAAATAGAATTGTACGTCTTTGTGTAGCGCATGAAAATCATTGGTAATGTCAAGTGTAATAAATGTAGCCAATGTTCGAATTTTTCGTTCTCTATCATTAATATCAGGTATAATTGATTTATAATCATCTATCTGTGTCACTGTGTTATGCAGTAAGAAATCAAATACCGCATTAAGTTGTATTTATATATCTATGATAGAGTCAGATGAACATCTTAGGCATATTTAACTCATATTTCATTAATGCCTCTAACGTTATACAGAATGAGTCGCCTAAGACAAGCCACTTAAATAATTTCTACAGTTTTGAAAACATCAAATTGTTTTGTAGGTTACCTTTATCTTTTTAAATACAACCCGCGTATATTAAAAACGTTTTGAATATGAATATCTTTTCCTACCTTTAAAATTGTAGCTGTTATTCAGGTGACATTTCTTAGGAAACTCGCACTGTTTACGCATCTATACTTAAAAACGTTTTCCTTTTTAGTGGAAAAGGCGATGAACCCAAATTGTATTGGTATCGTCTTAATATATTATCATGGTTTATGTCGTACCTTAATTAATAATTAATCCGATTCCCTTTTAGATATAATTATGAAAGTGACAATTACACAACAGATTCAAACTGCCCAAGTGTTCACAGCCGACAGCTGGATAGTATTAACTTTTACATAGAAAGCGCATATATGTTCGCGTGGTTAGTAAATAAATATGTAAAAGTCTTGTTAATAGGTGATTATGTTATATTAAAGAAATATATTAAGAGTGAGAATTTGATGGTTTGTAAGATACATACATATATTATGTATCTCATAATACATCTATATATATTACAAATATTTCAGGGATAAAACGATGCTTTTCTAGATACAAAATACAGCGAACATTTTACTTGTTACATGTATACTACGTGTATTACATGTATTACTACTACTTACGTGTATTACTACATGTATTACTATGTATAATAGATACTTGTAATGTAACAAGGTGAGTCTCACATTTCCATATATGTGTATGCATTTCTTATAATGCGATAGTTCCATCACTGGAATCGAATTAATCGGAAACAAAAAAATATCTTCCATCAATATCTTTCAAAATGTTTCACATTAATTTAAACTA